ACACAAGGAAGGGAGTAGTGCCCCTTTACGGCTACACAGAGGAAACACTTTAGAATACTAAACAAAACTGCTATAATACTTACCAAGTTAACTAGGCGTCGTAAGCCGTCATGCCTATCGAAGAGCTCCAAGACTGCACGGAACGAGAAACAAATAGAGAAGAACATGGTAGCGTGGCAGCAGCCTGAGGCATGAGAGCACTCCATCAGCCACAGGGTATAATTCACAACATCTGATAATACGTTGTGGGGATGCATGCACACCTATGGAACAAGAAGACGTTATGGCAATCGTAACGTCCACTCATGCAAATAATATGCCAAGTCTGTGCTTTGTCCTCTCAGTAATTTCCACAGGGACTGCTGTAGCAAGAAGGGAAACTAATAAATAATTCAGCCACCTGCGATCTCAGCTACTACCCAATACAAACATCTTGAACCTTTTAGATTCCTCCATTGGAAACCATTGAAGAAATACTATACAACATTTGCAAACACTGTTTAATATTTTTTTTTAAAAAAAATGGCCACACCAAACATATTCTCTCCTTAAAAGCCTCCCTGAAATGTACACACGACACTTAGTTTACTCTCTACTGGTGTCCAACTAATCAAATAAGAACATCAAATGGTGCCCTGACCTGGATAGCCCAACCAAGTCTGATCTCGTCAGATCTCAGAAGCTAAGCAGGGCCAACCCTGGCAAGAACTTGGATGGGAGACCTCCAGGGAATACCAGAGGCCACCTCTCTGAATATCCTCCGGGCTCCCAGTAGGGGTCAGTCACCAGAGGTCACCATGACTTCCAGGTGCACACACACGCATGCACATATAAAATAAAAAGAAAGAAATACCAAGAACATCAAACTGTAACTTTTGACGAGTCAACTTATTAACAAGTACAGCACAAAAACCTTGAAAATCATAACATGTGTGACAGTATAATCAAATCAATACATTATGAGAAAAATGTGGTTATGTGAACCCATCCAATATGGAATCTACCGTATCAGGAACTTTACAGCTTCATCACAGTGGGATCTTACCCTCTCCATGGCATCCTGATTGTAAGACAAATAATACAAGCACATCGAGACACCAGTAGCTGCCATGGAAGGACGAGGAATCTCCAGTAACTTCTGTACCCCTCCATGCGCAACAAACTCTGTGGCAAACTTATTGTGGAGAAGCAGGGATGCCAAGTGCTGTGGGCAGAAACACAAGAATCAGTGTGGAAACCACCACTCACCTTTCTGTGCTCTCCCAAACAAGTGAAATGTACTTCCAAGTTCCAAAGAGTGCTAAAGAAAATGAGACTGCTTTGTCCTCATGCCTCTGCCAGCTTAGGCAGAATGGCTACCTAGACTGATAATGAATATCTTCCAACTCAAATACCAACAGAACTCAATGAATTTTATGAAGCTGTACCACTCAAATAATACCCAACAGTGAAATACCTATAGACATTTAATAAAACTTTCAAATAGTAGTATCTCAAATACAAGTCAAACACAAGAACTTTCAAGGGCAGAGCAGCCTCTCCCTTTTGTAGTCCATCTGAAATACAAAACAGCAGTTTCATCTCAGTGAAGCATCATAAAATCAGAACTCTGGAGAAAGCAATTTTGTGTTCCATTAGTTCCAAGAGTGGAGCTGGGTAGAATACTCTGTATGAAGCTCTTCTAGTGCAGCAGCATGGAACGGGCAGATCTACCTAGGCAATGGAACTGGGGATTTGTCTGGAACGGCCTAACTCATCTTGGAAACAGTTCCTGCAAGGCTTACTGGTAAGCAAACTCATGGCCAAATTTTATTCCTTTATGGGGACATCTGTTACTCAAGAAGGCATGAAGGCTGCTTGCCCCCCTACTCCTGAAGCAGTTAGGGTCAAGCCTAACAGCACAGAAAGCTTTTCCTAGCGGCCAGCAATTATAATTGCAGGCATCTCAAAACAGGATGTCCTGGCTTGGATACGCACTTTGCACAGTAAGGATAAAGGTAAAGGTTTCCCTTGCTCGAAAGCCAGTCGAATCCGACTCTAGGGGGCGGTGCTCATCTCCGTTTCCAAGCTGAAAAGTCAGTGCCGTCCAAAGACATTTCTGTGGTCATGTGGCCGGCATGACTAAACGCTGAGGCGCATGGAACGCTGTTACCTTCCCACTGAAGTGGTACCTATTTATCTACTTGCAATTTCTTGCTTTTGAACTGCTGGGTTGGCAGGAGCTGGGGCCAGAGACGGGAGCTCACTCTGTCATGCGACACTCAGGTCTCGAACTGGCAAACTACCGGCCTTCCGGTCTGCAGTTCAGCGTCTTAACCACTGAGTCACAATCCCATGTACTTTGCACAACCACCTGGTAAACATCAGTTTATTTTTAACTGTTACTAACACTCTGCTTTATTTCTGTTTTAATTTTTAAAAACAACAACAAAAGAAACAAAGAAAAACAGAAAGAAATCTGAAACTGTAGCTGATTCTGGTATTCCAAGATAAAGGTTAAACAGGAAAAAACTGCCCAGTGAATCATTCACTTTTAAAAAAACCTTGCTGTTAAAGTTATAATTCATCAAATTTAAAAACATTTCCATTGTTTCAAAGTGTCAGTTCACTACGGCGTTTTCATGATGAGTTTTAACATCAAACCTGCTGTTATCTTTTTGTGCTATTCTAATCAAGTTAATACTTAATCAACACTGGACAAATCCTTTTTTGGCCAATCAGCCTTAATTCCTGTTACATGAAGCAGCTCTGAACACCTCTTCATCAATTTCGTGCAGTATAATTGCTAAGAGTTGCAGATTAGGAGATCCCTTGCACAGCCTTAGCCTCCAGTTGCAAATATGGGGAGAACAACACTGGCCTGTCTTACAGAGCAGTGGGATTAGAAGAAAATAACAAATGTGAAGAGCTCTGAATGCTCTAAAGCATTATACAAAAGGCATAACAGCAAATGCCAAATGGTGCAAAATGATTTTTGTCTTGAAATAACACTTGTCATCATTGGAAAATAAGGAAACCCCAAGCACACAGAGATTTTAAAAAGGCATTTGACTAAAACACACCAAAGCTAGGATCAGAAGCACTTTCACATCTGTAGGTCTGCCATAGTGGAGCTCTAGGTAATGAAAGGACTAGTATCAATTCCAAAGGAAAAATATTTTGTGGGAAATGGCAACAGAAGCATCTCTCAAATCAAATGGCAACAGGAACATTTCTCAAACTCACAGCAAAGTAGTACGTTCTCAAAGTCTACTGCAACTTCTGCGCCAGCAATGTATACGGATCCAAAGCCATTCTATTCACGTTAACAGATACAGGTAGGAAATTGACTCAGTGCCACCTCTGGTGAACAAACAGCTTACTATATTATAGTTTACCTTTAGGGCTTCAAAAGTGAGTAATACATCATTGGTCCGCTTCAAATCAATATAGAACATCATCAGTTCCCTTGATCCAAGTTGCATGAAGATCGGCAGTAGCTGGTGGGGAAAGTAAAAGATCTGCTTAAAGTCTGAAAAAAATTATTAGAGGTCTGTTGTCACCAACACTTTCCCCCCAGGACGACTGGGATCTCTGCTGAACAAACACTTCCTTGGATTTCCTTCCGCTTCAGGTAACAACTTCTTACCTGACTTTTTGGGAGCAAGGTGATGAGCCAAGAAATACATAAGAGTCATTCCCTGTTCAATCTCTGCTGTATTTTTTTTCAAATGACTAATGCGCACAGCATGTTCTAATCATTACACAGGAACAGCTCCTTGCCTCAGTACACACAAGTCACAAAGGGCAATAAAGTTAAACAACAGTTTCATTTCAAGCCTTCTCACACTTTTCAAGATGCTCTGTGCATATCCTGAAGTGAGCATGTTGTTCCTCCGCAACACAATTTAATTCACTCTTAAAAGGAGGCCGGACCCCACCTATTTTTACCCAGTTGCTGTACTCACCTCTTGGTACTCCCCTAGAGGAGTCAGGTACTGCAGAATTAATCTTTGCTCTATACCAGGGGTCAAGGGGTACAAGCTATAGTTCGTGCCAATCACCCATGGAGACATCTCTGACCAGCTGCTATTAGACAGTTCAACAAACATCTTTTCTGGCTCTGAAGAAAAGCCCAGTTTCTGTTTTGCTTTCCGGAAATTCTCTCTTTCATGCTGTTTCCCTGACTTTTTTGTGGCGGAATTCACCCGACTACTTGTTTTGTGACTTGAATCAAGATTAAACGAGATTTCCATGTCCCCTGTAACTTCCTCCTGCTCCCCATCCACAGCCATCTCTCCATAGTCCATGTCCACAGCCTCTTCATCAAGAGGCAAAAGAGGGTCTGAGGGCACTTTTCGGGGACTGAGCCGCTTGTTTTCGTGTTTTGTATTCACTTCATTAACTTGAAGCTCTCGTAAGCGTCGAAGTACAAATGCCACCTGTGGCAAAAAAATACAAGTATTTATCACTTCCCATCAAGAAGCCATCCGATTTACTACAGATTTTGAGTTTCTGCTTTGAAATTAGCCACATTGAGTATATCACGGAAGTAGTCTGAGACATCCTAAAGTAGGAGTGAGAAACAGGACACACCTATGAGCTTATTCCCTTTATCTGAAAAATATAAGCATGTCCTAGGTAGTTAAATGTGCAACTTTTCAACATTTTAGCAGGCAGAAAAAAGTAATTGTGCAGAGGGACAAATGCTATTCACATAGTTATTACCAGCTGAGAATTCTCATCTCTGTAGTTGGCTGCAATATCTTGGTTCTCCATGGCCCCTCCTAGCAATCCAGTTGCATACGTTCGCAAAGGCTGATCAGCCTCTCGTGCCCACTTGAAAAGATTCTCAACGATGCCTTCCTAGAGTTACCAGAAAAACCCAACAGACAGACATTAACATGTTCAGTTCTCTCTCCATAGCCCATAAGGTCAACCTGTTCTATACCTAATGCAGAGAAAGTAAAGCAATGAGAAGTCTATTTTCCAGGAAGAATTAACACTGCTTGGTATGGACTCTTTACACAGTAGCTCTGATTGACTGGCTCCTCAAGCATTTATATTAGTAGAAGAAGGATAATTAATATTTTTTTTTGCTTTACACTGTTTATCACTTCCCAGATTTATTATTAACAGTATTATTAATCTAATTGTCCTTGAGTCTTACAAACATACAAAAGAATTACATCCGTGGGCATAGTGTTCTTGGATATTTTTGCTGCAGCACCTCCCACTGCTGAATGAAAAGACCCTTTACAAACCAAACCACCACCTGCTTCTTCAGCAGTGGTACACATCACACAAAGCTCTAGCAGTGCACAGGTTCTCCCTTACATGCATACATCACTTTTTTGAATCTTGACCGTCAGCTGCAATGCTATCTAAACCAATATAACTTAACATATTATTACAAAGACAGCAGAAGAAGTCATGGTTTTGGAAACTATGAATAAAACAGGCTTACTACATTCTACAAAATAATGTAATTTATAATGCAGAATTGCCACTGGTGGTCACCACTGGCAACCAGAAATTGCTCCCAGGTGAACAGGGGATGAGAAAGAGCCTCTGACTTAAAGAATATTCCTAAGCACAAGTCTAACCCAGTGAAAACCTTTTTCGTAACTATGGCCATGATTATTTCCTACGTGTGTTCTTTTGAAGTTGCATCAATGTTTAATGTTATTTAAAACACACCCACACCTCATTTGTTATTTTTCTTACTGCAGTGTTAAAAGAACTGAAGGTTTTGTTTTTAAGTGCAGACTTCAGGCTTCCTCATCCACCAAAACTGTTTTCTCTTACAGCCTATAAGCTTCAGTTACCAGGCAGGTAATGGTTTTTAAGAAAAAGCAAGCAAGCAAGCAAACCTTTTAAAAATTATTAACTACATAGATTTCACACACACGCACACAAATACAAATAAAACAGCAAGAAGAGAAGACTTTGAAAATGTTCGACTTGATGGTTAGGAGTATCTATATGTCTTCTTATATGCAACACCTTTTCCTGAAAGACGACAGCAGTCTCCAGCCCAGGCATGATGTCTAGAAGGAGTCGGCAGGCAGCGGTGTTCAAGGGTGGCTCTCTGCTTGTCATCACGTAAGCATTTACCAGCTGAGAAAATATCAAGAATGGGATTAAACCAGTCCTCTTTTTTTATTTAATAGTTAACCCTACAAAAAGTAAATTAAGATTGCAGGCTTTGATTTCTTGCCATACTTTACACAAACAATTTACTGAGTCCTTTACTGATAGTTTTGTTGCTCCAATAATTCCTTAACAAAAAAGTCTAAAAAACAGGAATGTCCTAACATCCAACTTTACTATAAGCAATCCAACAAAATCTTGTAAAAATTTCAGAATAAGTGAAAATAAATGAGAGGATAGTAATATGGGTCAGAGCCTAAGGTCCATTAATAGAACAAGTTCGAGGAAGTGGTTTCTACCATCTTCACCTGCTGAGCACAGAGGACTATCTAGACCTGCATACCATGCAGCACTGGAGACAAGTCAGAAAAAGAGATTTTCCTTTTCTGAAAGCCTCCATAATCTCTCCCATTTTCCTGCTTCCTTCTCTCCTTCTAGGGTTGCTAACCGCTGGGTGGAGTCTGGAGATCTCCTGGAATCACAACAGATCTCCCAAATACAGAGATTGGATCCCTTTAGGGTTGTCAGATCAAGGTTGAGAAATCCCTGGAGATTTGGCAATTAAGCCTTGAGAGGACAGGGGTACAGTGCCAAAGAGCCCACCCTTCAAAGCAGCCATTTGCTCCAGGGGAACTGATCTCTGTAACTTGGAAAGCAGTTGTACTGTCGGGTGACCTCCAGCCCCCACCTGGAGGTTGGCAACCCTAGTTCCCCTGGAGGAAATGGATGCTTTGGAGGGTGGAGTCTATGGCACTATACCCCTCTGAGGTCCCTCCCCCTCCTCAAACCCCACCCTCCTTAGCCCCCCCCCAATTTCTAAGAATTTCCTAATCTCTTCCCCTCCTCTTGTCAATCCCAACATCCTCTCCCTGCCTCATTTTCTCCTTCTCAGCCATTCACTAACCTACCTTTTATCTACCCCCCCCCATCCTCAGCTATACCCACCATTCTCCAAAATGGGGACCAAAGCAGCTTACATTATTCTGTTTTCCCTTTTTATCCACACAATGACTGGTACAAAATCACCCAGTCCGCTTCCACAGCAAGATAGGGATCTGAACCTGGGTCTCACAGACCGACTCTGAAGTTCTAACTACTGCACCATACTGTCTTTCATAAGGTGGCAGCTGTTGAACAGTAGCAAGTATCCAGGCCTAGTTGAGTCATGCAAGTTGGGTGGTATCAAGTCACCCAGATGGTTCTGCCAGGCCTAGGGTTGCCAACCTCCAGGTGGGACCTAGAGATCCCCCAGAATTACAACTGAATTCCAGACATCTGTCTCCCTGGAGAAAATGGCTGCTTTGGAGGGTGAATTCTATGGCATTATACCATGCTGAGGCCCCTCCCCTCCCCAAGCCCTGCACTCCTCAGACTTTATCACAAAATCTCCAGGAATTTCCCAACCTGGAACTGGCAACTCTAGCCAGGCCTGGCCCCAATGAGTCTTCCCTCAAAGGCCAAAATACGGCTGGAAAGGGCCCTCCCCCATCCCTCTGCTTTTTACTGACAGAGCCAAGCTTGGAATGCTGTGGTTGTCTAGCAACAGCCACTGAGGGAATCCATTGCTTAAAGCTACAGGTGCTTCGTTTATAATTTTCAGATATTTTTAAGCTGTCCAGTGTATTTTTTTTAGTGTTCACATTTTTCTGCAAACCTAGGGCCCTTTTCAGGTTCATAGAAAGATCCGTCTTGCCTGTTCACAGTTCCAGTCATCAGATTTAAGTATCCAAAGATATCTGGACTTCATTTTTAGAATACGAGACAATTGGTGACCAGCAGCCAGCTGCAAATCAATGGATAAACATTAAACCTACCGCATTCATGAAATCATCATTTTTGAACAGTATTCTCAGCAAATGGCCAAGCATACAGTCCGGATCTGCTCGACCTGGGAAGGGATGGGTAAGAAGATTAGACACCCAAATGTAATAATTAGAACAAACACAGCAGTAATCAAAAAAAAGTCAAGCATAAAATAGTATCAAATATAGAATGGCTAATTGAAGCATATCATCATCTCAAAGGTTCGGAGTTAACAATGAAAGAATCTTTCTCATGGTACTATTTTTTAAAATGTGTTATAAGATATTTTCTATACTGTACAAAGTATACAAGTTCAAATATAACCAACCATCCATATGTATGACTGTCATAATTCACAGATGGAAATGTTAATTATAAAAAGAGGGCAAAGTTGTGGCATAACATATCACAGGAAAACATCAAGAAATAAAAATATGAAGGATATGGAACTAACCAATTCTCATTCTTTCCATTTCTAATAGTCAGGCATTAAAAAGTTTCAAGTCTCTAGTCAATAACAATCCTTAATTTCAAATGGATATGCAAATACTGTTCTAATTATTCTTTTTTTAATGCATAATGAATATTCAGATCATCAAGTGAGAAAGATCTTCTATTCACACATCAATGAATGGAGAATACTGAGATTTTAAATTTTGAGGGAGTTCTTTTGGGGGTTTTTGGCCCCCCGGAGGGGATTTTTTTATTGCATTTTTAAATGGACTACAAACTACAATGAAGATAAGGGAAGGGAACTACAATTAAGGAGAAAGAAAAGATTGCCACTACTAACTAAAACCCCAATAGTAGGAGATCATTAAAACAGCTTGAGTACAAAGTCTTTCCTTAAATCGCTAATATGTTTTGAACTTAGTCAGACATGCTAAAATATCTTTTAAATCTTAAATTTAACTGTTAGAAGAAACCCAGCATCTCATTATTAAGAGCTATACTTTCAAAGGCACAATTCAGAGTCCTTCGGCCTTCATTTTTTCTTATCTTGTCTTTTCCTCAGTTTGTATGGACTTTTAGGGGCAGCCACCCCTTTTTCAGAAAGAGAGTCATCTCCGAAAGACCCCGAGTCCAACTCATCACTGGACTTGCTGTCCTTCTCCTCTTTATCCACCTCCTCTGGCTCACCCAACTGGATTCTCAAAAACTCCCATGCTTTGGAAACAGAGTCAATCTTTTCTTTTTTGTCCTGAGTTTTGAAGGTTACGCCCTCTGGAATTAACCACCTGTACACAATTGCCTTTGTTTGAAGAAAAAGAATTAAATCTTTGTATTTCTTTCTCCTTTGTCTTATTTCAAATGGGATATCTTTCAAGATCCTGATAGTATTGTCCCCAATTTTCAAGGGTGACCCCGCAGTCGCTCTCAGGATAGAATCCCTCACATGCCTCTTCGAGAATCTCATTACTATTTCCCCAGGCAGATTATTCTTCTTTATATATACAGAATAAGACCTGTAGGCCACATCCATCTCGCTCATAAGGTATTCTGCCTTCAAATCTGTCACTGGGGCTAGTGCTTCGCTCATCATTTGCTTCAGATTCTCACCTTTGGATTCTGGGACACCTTGGAAACGAAGGACCAGGTTTGCCTTCTCCATTTATAGCTGTAAAAGTTGTTCTTCTGTAGAGACTTGCTTCTTTTCCAGTTTTTGCACCTTTTTTCACCTTTTGAGTACTGGCGTCAACTTCTTTCACTTTCTCAGCTGTTTGCTCTGTAATTTTAAGAGTCTCATTCAATTGAAGCTGCTGAGTAGTGATGCTTTGGTTCATCGTTGACAGCTGTTCCTTGAGATTAGTCATCTGGTCCAGCAGGGGGCGCAGGGATTCTGCCAACGTTTTAGCCAACTCGGTGGTTTCTTCCAGACGAGGGCTCCCAGCTACTTTCGCTTTTAAAAGTTTTGCTTTCTCAGTCCTCTTCCCCGCCATCTTTATGAATTGTTTACTCTCTGAAAATTTGCTAAAGTCTCTGAATATACGCTCATATGCGCCCTGGTAAGTCTCTCCCAACAGATTTCAGCGTTTTTGCTTCCACTCCCCCCTCAGATCTCGCTTTTTAGTTCATGCGCATGGGAGGGGCCCCTCCCCCGCTCGCTTTTCTTTCTAGTCCCTGGAGTGGGAGCTTTCTTTTTAAATTGACAATTACGCTCTAATCCGACTCACAGTTCATATTTGGTCTTGCGACCTCGCTGTAACTCCATTTAAACCGCTTGATCTCCAGCGCTTGTCCCGGTCAGCGTCACTAGTTCCATACGGACACACAGCAGGAGGACCGTCGGGACGGAGAAGCACCTCGATTCCCCAGCATCACGCTGGCGAAGAGGCCACCTCTCAAAAGTCCCATGGCTAGGAGTCTTTCAACCAGGCTCCGGGGGGGGGGGATCGAGGCGTCGCCCTCCCTCCTTTCTGCTGGGGAGATGAGTCTGCTCAGCGTGTCACCATAAACCGGAAGTCAGATTTCAAATTTTGTAAAGGCAAATTTTTCTGGCGACTAATGCTTTCCAGCTCTTCCATAAATCCAAACACAGGATGCACAGACAAAGGAAAGGAAGACTGCTCCACTAACTTAACCTGTGTGTTAACATCAATGAAAAAGAAACCCACTACTAAATAGTCCTGTATTGCTGGCATATCAGGATTTGACCTGTATTCTATTGCCAGCATAAACAATTCCTTATTTTCATCGAACAATCTCTGATATTCAGTATGCGTTTATCAGTAACTTCCGGTGGCTCAATTTTGTGAGCTGATTTTAATGACACAGATAAATACCTTTACTGACTCTGTAACTGCAGGCTAATTCTTTATTGTACACCTCCTATTATAAAATTAACTCCAGCTTCACTTTCTTTGTAATCTGTTTAGATATACTGCTGTCTCAGAGGAGATTTCATAAGCCCCATGATCAGTGCTTTATGTTTCTGCTGTTTTGTTGCATTTCTCTCAATAAAAGAAGAGTACCATTAGAACTGAATGCTCTGGGCAGGAATGGCTTTGTCACTTGGCCACTTCATCAGCCCAAGCCATTACATAAATTTTCAAAGAAAGAGTTTATTCATAATTTTCATCCTACACGTATTCTTTAAAAGCATGCAATGGAAGTGTTTGTAAAGCCATGAGTCAAGGGTTGGACGTAACCCTAAAATGTAGTAATAGCAGATTTGTGCAGTTTTTCAGTTTTTTAAAAAATACTATTAAGAAGAACACACCACATTGGAATACATTCTCATGCCAACTTACCTGGATGTCTGTCATCAAACGGATCTGGATCTCCCTTACGGTACTCTTCAGTCTCTTTCTCAATCAATTCTGACATTCTAGACAGGGAGAGAAAACAATGAATCCCTTGATCTCCCCCTCCCAAGAAGCTCTTCCATAAATGATCACAAACCCATTCCAATTGTACAACAGATGACCAAGATACACTTGAATGACTCAGCAAGAGACAGCAATAAGAGACTGAAGCACTGCGCTCTGCTGAAATGAAACCTATGCTGCTAAGAACCGTGCAGTCCTTGACCACGAACAGAGGCTGTCCCTGTCACATAGCCACCAACACAGAGGTACAAGAGTCAGCTGGAAACAGCTGGTCTCTCAAGGGGCTGCTATGAAGGAAAATACCTTACTACTGTTATAATTTATTTATTATTATGGATTGGCTACAACATTCTCTTGGCTCCACCCTTCCCATTTTTTTAGTATATTTTATTATTCTCCACAACACATGTTCATAACACAAATATCATACAGTTTTGGAATGGTATACAAATTATTCCTTCCAATTATTCTCTATAACACTGCCAGTGTCTACTTAATATAAATAAATTTTCTTATTAACTACCAGTGATTGCTTGCTAAACAGTTAGTATCATCTCCTCGAACTCCTAGCCAAATAGTACATAATTTAAGAAACAGATAATGATTATTAAGGTTTCCCTTGCTCGAAAGGTTTCCCTTGCTCGAAAGCCAGTCGAATCCGATTCTAGGGATGTGGTGCTCAACTCCGTTCCCAAGGTGAAGAGGCAGCGCTGTCCGAAGATGTTTCCATGGTCATGTGGCCGGCATGACTAGATGCCAAGGCGCATGGAATGCTGTTACCTTCCCACCGAAGTGGTACCTATTTATCTACTTGCAATTTCTTGCTTTTGAACTGCTATATAATTGCTTAATTATACCAATTAAGCTTTTACAATGTTTCCTTCATAAATCTCAGACTGTTTCTCATAATAGTCTATCTTCTAATTTTTATAGTCTTTAATTGCTATCATTTAAATAATATCTATTTCTTCATAGTGGAGTTCTTGGAGGTTGTCATCTCACTTTGGGACTTCGGAAGAATCCGAAGGGGGTCTTTTCCTAAGACCCTCACCCTTCCCATTTTTAAAAAATTATCCCAGCTCTCCTCATTTCCCCAAACTTTTAAAATTCAACAGTTATATAGAAAATAGGAGCAAGTATAGTAGATGGAGAATAATTATTCTATCAAATATACCTGAATCATACTTACCGAGTAAGAATGGGGACCATGTCCTGTCCACTGCCATGTTCTTTCTCCCACTGCTCTAGCAAAGCCGTAAGCTCAGCTTTGGAATCCAGATACCCAGAATTTGAAGTCATGACTTACCCTAAAGAGAAAAGGGACAAACCAAGACAAACCTGAAAGTTATTCAATAAGACAAAGTTATTCAATAAGACAATTTTGTTAAAAAGAAATCTGGGTATTACCCCTATACCTAAAAAATGATCAAAAGATCAAACATAATTATAAACGTCTTCCTCCTATGCTGTAGAGGGAAACCAATACAGACAGTCAGTGAGACAGTCAGTGAGAGCATTTGACTAGGACTGCAGAGATGTGGGTTCCAATCCTCACTGAGCCACAAAAGGTTGCTGGGTAGCATCAGGCAAGTTGTTCTGTCTCAGCCTAACCTACCATACAGGGCAGCTGCAAAGTTAAAACAGAAGGAAAGGGCTAGGTATGCCACCTTGAAGGAAAGGCAAGACAAAAACATATACACAGATTGTTAACATTTATGTTTGTCCATCTACAGCACAACTTGGGCCCAGAGCTTATGCAACCACAGAAGAGGCCATTATCCCACATCTCATATAGCTAAGCGTTACTTGATTTAACACTGTTTCTTTAAAAATTCAGATACCCTTTCTCATCAAAGATGAACCAGCTGAGATATAATATAAACATGTATGTGGGGGGGCCTGTTAATGTTCTAAATGTATGATAAGAGAGGCATCCAAATGAAGCTTGCAAATAATTTTCTGTATTACAGCAAAGTCTCAGATTTTAGAATGCCACTGGATAACTGGGGGGAGGGGTACTAGCAGATGGTCATCTCAGCCATAGCTAGAAAGTGTTTTTATGCAGAGAGCTTTGCCTGTTAACTTCAACAGTGTTTTCTCACTCAGAGAGCTAAAGTAATGCCAGTAATCTCAGTGCATTACATTTTATCCTACTCTTCTCCCAGCAGCTCAGGGGCGGTATGCATATTTCTTCTCCTCCACTTTATCCACAAAACTTCCCTGTGAGGTAGGTTTGAAAGAGCATAACTGGACCAAGGTCACCTAGAGAGCTTCACAGCTGAGTGAAGATGTGAATATGGATCTCCCTAATTTTAGTGTGACACCCTAAACGTAACACCATAACAGCTAGGGTTGTCAAGTATTACCTTTCGCTGGAGTGGGGGACTCCCGGCTCCTTCCTGGAGTGTGAGCGCCACAACCATGTCACCCGGAAGTGACGTGATCACGCTGGGCACACTGGGGGCGGGGCCACGACCATCCGAGGGGGAACCATAGAGTTTTCCCTCGGATGACCGTGGCCCTGCCCCCAGCGTGCCCGGCGTGGTCGCGTCACTTCCGGGTGACGTGCACGTCATGTACTTTGGGGGTGGGGTTCCCCCCAGGGCCCGATCCGCAGGCGGCGGGGAACGGGCCTCTGGGGTGGGGTTTTCCCCGCCCCCCGGGGGGACTTGGCAAGCCTAATAACAGCTCTCAATAATGAAGTATTATGCCAGTGATATTTAAAAGTCTGTAATAACATTTGGAATCTCTCAGCTCAAAATGGGGAAGTAAGGACAAAAATAATGCATTTCTGTAAGTCAATAAAGCCCTCTGGAGTAGCTGAAATGACTGTAGTAAGTAGGCACTTCTAGACATGTAAAGGATATGGGGAAAAGTGTAAAAAAGTGAAAGGGAGGCCTCTCCCAAGGAATTTTCCAGAGGGAAAAAAAAACTAGAAACGTTTGGGAGAAACAGAAGGGGAGAGTCTTAAGCAGTATTTTCTCTTCTACAACTGTAAGTGAAATTGTTTTTAAAGTAGTGCTTTAAAATATTGCAGCCATTCACATCACTGCAAAACTCCTAGATCCACAATTAAAGGTCGTAAAGTTGGTGATGATGGCAATTGTGCTTTTGCCTTAATTACCAAAGAAGCAACACTCTTAGGATGAGATATTGGAAAAACAGTTTTCAACAGTACAAAACATAGAGCATTTTCAAACTAGGCACCTAGCAAACATATTGCCCTTGTAATAAGACAGTTACATCTTTATACAGCATAGCTTCAGATCTGTCTCAACCTCCTTCATCTTCTCCATCAAATGAAATAAACCAATATATGTGAAAAATTTCACACACAAAGAAATATTAAAGATACAATATAATACATGAAAAAATGATGGCATGTCTTTAAATTCATGCAACCATTCCACTTTCTACAGTCAACGATACTCAAAGTAAAGTCAGAAGCTTTATGGATTCTTCAGATGGTTCCAATTAAGGAAGTTTACATTATAACAACAGGACGTGTGAGAATAAAATTCAGGACAGACTGGCATGAATACTAGCAACCTCCTTTGACACCTGTCCTGCTTACTTTAATGGAACACACTGTCCCCAATTAACTATGCTCAAGACTACAGCCTGTATATAATGATGACCATCATTGCAAACAGGCCTGGGTAAAAAAGTCCCGTTCCCTTATTAAATGGGCAGTAGAAGCTCATCATGTACTTGGAAGTCCTTTGTTACATCATACATCTGAACTCTTCCTGAAAATCCAAGTTTCTTCAATTACTATATAACAGAGCTGAGATCTAGGCATCGTTTCCAAGTCCAGATAATAAACCCTTTCTTCAAAACCATGACTACTGCAGTAGATATTTTTCATCTTCCCCTTACCATTTCCCCAACTGGCAAAACCTAAGATACACTTAATGATACCATGCTCCCTGTTTCTATGCACGTTTATTCAGACATAAATCCCCATCAATGGCAGTTACTTCCAGGTAAGTATGATCACAGTCTTACAATTCAGCAGCTCATTTCTAAAACTGGGTATTTTAAAGCTTATTATTTGAACAAACAGAAGCATCTCTACTTCTAAAAATGTCATCAGTAAAAACCAAACTGTAAAAATTGTATGCACTAACTAAACCAGCGACAATAAAGTTCATGTACATAGAGCAGTAAAAAAAGCTTCCGTTTGATAAAACTCTGCTGCATATTAAACATTTTCCCTTCCATGTCTTTAAGACTTGCAGGCATATTTGTACGGTGATTCCACAGGCCCTAGAGAAAGATCTGCACCAACGGAGCCAGATCAGGAGGGCTGCCATAAAGACTAAATGAAAGCGCCGCGTGCCTTGGATGCTGCTACCAATCACACTGAGAATCAGCAGCTGCGGGGCAGCATATGAGCTACAACTGGGTGACAAAAAAAAACCCTGCCTCCTTCAGAAATGTTTTTTCCCGGGGGGGGGGGTCTACTTTTTCCTAGGCTCACCTTGGCTGGCAGACCACCAAAGGAGAACTCCCTCTGGGGGACTGGCAAGGGCAAATCTCTTCACTAGGTTATCATTCCCTCCTACCTGTGTACACGTAGATGTTAGCATTTAGAAGCCAGGTCAACCAAGGGTTTTTCTTTCAGGCACTGAGTAGGATTGATTTAATTAATTTTGCTGTGCCTATGCTGATTCTTGTTTATGTTAGTGTAGTCTTGTGATATTTTGCTATATTATTGTTTTAGGAATTATAGTCTAAAAGCAGGATAACAAAAAAACTAGCAAAAATTGGCATGTGTGCCTAAAAAAATAATTATGTGCATCTTTTTAAAAAGGCATTCCAGGAATAACTTTTGTATGTATGAATCACACTGATTTAAAGTGAACTCAAAGCAAAAGAGGACCTGAACAGTTTCAGCAGCCCAAAGTCAAAATAAAGTGCTGGATACTGTAGGTGCTGTAAAGTGCTGTAGGTGAACATGTCCTACAAACAAACAGGCAGGGAAGGTACTGGTAAAGATTGAAATAGCCCCATTCTAGTCTAAAGAAGAGAACAGGAAACAAGTACCCCTGGATTATTTATGATTTAGTATTTTGATATCTTCCTTAAACCACATATTATCTCTCCAACTGAACACTGGCACACTGAAATTGGATGAGTGGCACAGTGGCACTAAAAGCAGATCACTATCTCTAGTCCTGCACAAATCACCCAGTCTAGCATTTTTATCCTGCCCTTCGTCCAAGAAGCTCAGGGTAACAGATACCAGTGTTCCTTCTAAGCTGAGTTAGTGTGAGCTAGCTCACAGTTTTTTAGCCTCCAGCTCACACATTTTTGTCTTGGCTCAGGAATGATGGCTCACAAAGTTGAATTTGTGCTCACAAGACTCCACAGCTTAGAGGGAGCACTGACAGACACAGTTCCATCTTCCTCATGTTATCCTCATGGCAACCTTGGTAAATTAGACTAAAGAAGTGTGACATGACCCAAGGTCACCCAGAAATCTCCAAGAGTGCTGACCTGAACCCCAGTTTCTCAGACCTTGGTTCAACCTGAGTCCATTGCAGCTCTCAGTCACTATATCACTTTCAGCCTCAATCTTAAACTGGAAAATAAAAGAAAAGAAAGAGGGAGGGGACTGAAAGGCTACAATCCTAAATAAGTATATCTGTAAGCAAGTCATAATAAAATTAGCAGGTCACATTCCTGACAAATTTGATTAATTCAGGCCTTCACAAATTGTCCTTGGCTTTAGGAGCCCGTGCAAAAATTCAGGAGCTAGGGTCATTTTTCAAACATCAGGGTTTTGTGTGTTAATGTCCATATTTTTAAGGTATTGTTGCCACAAAGTTTATCCTAACCTCTTCCGTTTATTAGATTTTTATTAAAGCTGTGACAAATGTGGATATGCGGACTAATTTTCATTGTCATCACAACAAAAAGCTATTTTTACTCTAACCTAACTTTACCCGTTTCCTATAATTCTACTACTGCTTTTTAAAAAAATCAATGTAATTGTGTCTTAGAGCCAGTATAGAAAGCAAATGGTTAAGAAATTATTTCATCCACCACTAGTAAAAGGTGTAATATTAAGTTTGCATATAAATAAACAATGATAAGAATTTCAGGCACAATTATTATTATGTCATACAAAAACATTCTAGTGCAAAATGATAAACATTGTACTTGCACTAAGAAATGCTGAAGGACACTACAGTAAAATAATTGCTGAAAATACTAGGTGCTATGATGAAATTTCTAGGCACTATGGCAATTTGGAAAGCCCTGGGTTAAACATTAAAACTGGATAGACTAGATGATCTTC